GCGTGCTCCGTCCCGGCTTTGTAGGGATGCGAGGTCAATGGTCTAACGACTACGGCATGCACGACTATGAGTACACCCCCCACCCCCCGCCTCGCGTGTCGCTCTTCCGGGAGACAGCGTTGTCGCAGGACGTCGTCGCAAGACGTCGTCTTTTGAGCCTTTTGGCTACGCGCCCGGTCGCGCCTGCTCTACATGTATCCCTTCTTGGTGCCGATCATTGCTGACTCATTATTTTTCTCTCGGGCGGTGGGGGGGGGAGCGGGGCAACCGGTCGGAGCTTGGTGCTGCTCCACGTAGTTTACACTTTTGTCTGTGCTCGGGCCGTGCACGCGGTGCTTTAACCGTTTCCATTCCCCGTGCTCCTCTCTGTTGCGGCTGTTACCTTGAACGGTCGTGGTGTTCGTAGATGGGCAAACCTGCGCGCGCTGCAACGACTAGTCGCGAAGGAGGAGATGTCGTTGGAGGTGAACGTGAGGGAGAGGCAGGTCAGCGGGTTGAAGACCATACAGCTGGAGACGTGCGGGGCTAGCGCGATCCAGTGTTTCGACAAGGTACTACCGTGTACACCAGGTTTCAGTTTTGCAGGAATGCTGCTGTATCCAATGTGGTATGCCGTTTTACCACTTGATGGTGGGCAGGGATATGCTTCAGTGTTTTTCTGTTTCCGCCTTTCATCATGCCTATGACGCCAACAATTCAGCACTGGTGCTGGATGTCTTCTTTGCTTAATGCGAAAGCTGTTGATTTTTCTTCCTACACAATGTTTTGCTCTCGCACCTGCTAAAAAAAAGCATCAATTCCCTCTTGAAAAACTTGCGTTTTGCATGCGAGGCTATGATACGCCATTGGAATGTACCGTACATTGTATAACAACGGGTGTGGGGACTAGGCGTAAATTGGCGTTTTTCTGCACAGCGTAGTACGAAACCGTTTGTTCCGCACCGGCTATCGTTTTCTTTCGGAAACAACATCACTCCGAAAGGAGAAAGGAGACCGTATTGAGGGTATCCAATGACAAGACATGAGCCCCTTTTCCGTCCCGTCCCGCCCCCTTTCCGTCCCTTTCCGTCCCATTTCGTCCCGTCGCTCCCTTTCCATCCCGTCTCGCTCCCTTTCCGTCCCGTCCCCATCCCGTCCCGTCCCATTTCGTCCCGTCCCGTCCCTCCCTTCCGTCCCTATCCGCCCCGTTCCGTCTCTTGGCGCCAGGTGATGGCCATCGTCGTAAATCGAGCCCGATATTTACCCGTCAAGTCGACGTCGGACCTCTTCCTGGTCCAGTCCAACCTGTACGGAGTGAGGCACGGGAGCCTCGTCATGTCGGCGGAGCGGCCGGACGGCAGCACCCCGCTGATAAAGCTCGGGAGGGAGTTCACCTCCGTGGAGGACTACTTGCGGAGGATACCACACGGCGTGCCCACCATCACGCAACTTGACCACCTGACGGTGGCGGGGGACGTCATGTTCGGGGAGAACGTGACGCTTAAGGCGGGTGGTGCATTTTCGCATGTCCGATGCTGGTTCGCTATGTTTCGCTCTTTGTTTTTCGAGCGTTTTTCCCCGGATTTTCTGCTCAACGTATGAACAAGGTTTTTGTGCGCGCATTAGTGCGTTGCGTGTGGGGGAGGGGCTTGCGCCGCGTGGGACTGCCACAGCACTAGCTATCCCCGGTTGGCACTTTGCGTGGGAAAGCAAACCTATCCTCGAGCCAACAGCTGTGGTTTTTGCAGTATAATAGTGCAACATGGCGCATACACAGACTCCGCCTCAGGCGATAGAGTAGCTCGAGCTTGAAAGGACGTTGCCGGGAGAGACCACGCGGCTGCCAACTCGCTAGCTCTCACGTGATTCACGTGCGCCACCTTGTAGTACCCTGGGTTGTTTCTTTTCCCGACATCCCCATCATGGCCGAGCCATTCGCACACTTGAATTTTTTTATTTACTAAAACATAACAAATCTGCAAACCACTCAAATAAATAAATGTTTAATTACTGTATATATATTGTGTTTTTTGGACCACAACTCATCTAAGAAAATGTGAAAAAGAGTCAGGGATAGATAAGGTAGCATTCACAGGTATCTGTTCCTATATCCAATTGTTTTTATTGTCCCGCGTGCTGCCGCCGCCCGGTCGGTCCAGGGGACGGTTATTATCGTCGCGAACGAGGGGTCCGTGATCATGATCCCTGACGGGACGGTACTCAGAGACTCGGTCGTCACGGGGAACTTGCGCATCCTCGATCACTAACCCGGCGGAGCGGCGGAACGGGGGGGCTGATTACCTTTGGCTGGCCGGAGCCAGCAAAACAGGGAGTTGCCCAGCGACTGACTGTTCACCTGGAACGAACGGGTCAGCCGTTCGGAGTGCCTGCGACCGATATCCTGGGGTCGGTCCCTTTGGACGGAAGCCGATCGGTTGGTCGTCGCTTGGGGGTGGGTTTGCAAAACCGATTGCTTGATAAGCTAGCTTGCTCCGGGGCTTCGTTCCTCTTGGCCGGAAAGACCATCATCAGATGGCTGGAGATTTGGGTCCTGCCTCTAATATCCTTGGTAAAATTTGTGCACAGGAAACACCACGAGGCCCGCTACTGTCTGTCTGCGAATCACTAGTTGATGGGTTGTTTTTTTTTCTTTTGTTCTAGAACAGGAAGAGAAACCACGGGATAATTTTGAAGGAACCGTTTTTCGCTCGCTGTAGTCGTTTTGTGTGTTGGTTGCACCCCTCGTCCGGACTTGGATGCTCGCGCGTTGTTCCAGGCGGAGTCGATATGGCACCCAAAAGTTAGAAACAACTCCCCCCCTCAAAAAGGGTATTTCCGCCGCATCTTGTAGAAACTGTCTTTTTTTTCTCTGTGGTACCACGTATACGGCTGTCCCTCGGAGGGTTCGACTCACGGTCGGCGGTGGTGTGTGTGTGGAGCCAGGACTCGCCTGGTTAGCTACCACGCGCGTGTGTGTGTGTGTCGTCTCTTGGTGTCCTCTTTGCGCCCTCTCGTCTCTCGTTCTGCGGACAAGGCGTTATAGTCATTTGCTTAGAACGTATACATAAATACAACACACAGAAAGACTTCCCGTTCGAGATATATCCATAGCAGTCGAAAGGGATGTGTTCAAGTCTTTTCGGCGAGTGGAGGGAAACCTTGTTTCGTCGTTGGCGGTATGCGTAGTTGGTGTCGTTTTTGTTTCGGTTTGGCGTTAACCCGACGCGCTCAGTCTGGCCAGGCCCGCCCTCAAGGCGTAGTCTAGTCTGACATGCCGGATTTTATTTAGAAACAAAGTATCATAGGCGCGCAAGGGGAGGCGGGGCAGGGCCATCATACCAGACATGCGTACTGGCGCTGTACCATTTCGACTGTTTTGTACAAACGTTGGTTTCCGGTTTTAATCATCCAAAGAAGAAAATCGGGACGAGGGGATGCGCGAGAGGGGTCGGGATAACGTATAACGAACGCCTTTTCTCGCATTCATTGCATGGGACGGGTGTCGCAGCGTGTTGGCGGTATCGTCGGCGCTGCACCAGCGGGCAGGATTTTTGGCATCTAAACGGGAAGACATGGTTGTCGAGACTTTCTTTGCCAAAGGGCCTCGAGGGGGCAAGGACGTGGCGTTAGCCGCGTGCGTTGTTGGTCGAGTCGTAGCGAGTGGTAAAACCGCAGGCTTACGCGTACAGTATGGAAGAAGACCCGATCGCAAGCATCGCTACAGGGCGTGTGGCAGCGCCTGCCGCCCGTTTTGGACGCCTTGCAGGTCTAATCTCGCCCCCCTGTCGTGCAGTCTGAAACCCGACCACCCCCCCCCCTCTTCATTCTCCCCCCTCCCGCATGGGTATCAAACTCGTAAAATTCGGGATAGGGAGAGCAGGCATGCGTGGAAAACAACGGCATAAACATCGATTTCAATGCATCTGGAACGAGCACGTACCGCTGCCATCCGTCACGTGACACGGGAACGGATACAAGATATGTAGAGCCATCAGAATGCATAATAAGTGCGTCAAGAGACCGCGAAGAAAACAACAACGGTCCTATACATCTTGCAAGAGGTTCTCGGCTTGGAAAATGTTGCGAAGATGCGCGTGTCGTCAGGAGTGGACATGACGCCCAATTTCTAAGGTATGGGTGGGTGTGCGCAAATATATCGGGGCGAGGCCCTGTAGCAGGGTATCAACTATCTGGGAGGGACAACCAAATAACACCCTAAACGGGGAGAAAACAAATTTCTTCTGAAAGGAGTGGCTCCCGGCAACGAACCTCACGAACCAGAAACCGAAGTGGAAATAAAATACTGGTACTTGCGCCTTCCTTCTTTTCGGGACAGATCAGACGCATACTGCAAACCTTGCTGGCAACATAAGGGGAGGTAACTAAGGTGCGTTCGGCGGTTTCACTCGTTTCCTGTATAGTGTTGCGCCTCCGTCAACGAGGCACACTTAGCCCGATTGCGGTGCAAGAATGAGGCAATAGCGCACGCAGGTACCATACCACCACTGTCGGCGCCATGCATGTTTCGCGTGACGGGCGGCCCGAACGGAGAGGGGCAGCATTCGCCGCATCACAAATAAAACGACAGGCAGCATGGGATGCCGATGATGAACATTCGGACAGTTCACCGGCGGACCGGAACGGGTGAGGTCATTGCCGAGCCAGAGAAACCGTCGTAGCTCGGTGTGCAGGAATGCCAAGATGACCACCACCGCAGCCGATCTACATTTCTTTGCAAAGGATTGATGAAATCACTTGGACGATGATGTTTGTACAAGCCCATCCCGCTCGGTAGAGCCTTCACAACAGTGGCCGGGATCAGGGGTTCAAATCCCGGCGTAAGCAAGCTTTTACTTGCAAAGTGATTTTCTTTCTCGTTTCCGCTCCCTGGCCTGGGTGGAAAGCCCTACTCTGTAGTTCGTGTGTACACAGGGAAGAGAGTACTGTCCTCTTCGCGCAATAAAGATCGAAGGCAAAGAACCGCAGGAGGGGTGAGTAGGGGGGCTCATGGGGGGGGAACCCTTTTATGTGGCCACGGGGAG